GATCTATACTATAGAATTGTTCTGTAGCAGTTTAAAAAATTTTTGCCCTTTAACTGTTCCTGCAGTACCATTACTCCAGTAAATTTCCGGGTAGTTAAAATCCCCCATTATTATCACTGTCACAGCCCTTGCAGCCTTTTCGATCTGTGCAAGGTGCAGAGTTTCCACCTCCTTATTAACACTGGGAGCCCTATAACAAACTCCAATGATTACCTTTGTAGTACGCACCCCCATGTACAGTTCCACCCATACTACTTCAGCCTTATCACACTCTCCATCAACTAGGTCCTGTTTCACACTCGCTCTGAAATCACTTCTCACATAGTGACAGACACCACCACCTTTCCTATTTACTCTGTCTCTCCAAAAGAGAACATAGCCAGGAATATTAATGGCCCAGTCATGCAAAGAATGAAGCCAAGATTCCGCAATACCAAATAAATCATAGTTCTCTTCATGCACCAAAGCTTCCAACTCACCTATTTTGCTTGACAGACTTCTGGCATTGGTGAACAAACACTTTAAATCATTGACACCTTGTGCACATGTATTTTGCATATTTTTTATTTTCATACAAATGGTACCAATTCCACTGGTTGTTTGTAACATGGGAACCTTCTTATCATCTGCCATAGCCTTCCCCCCATCTTTCCCCATTCCACCCACCAATAAGTACTGACCCCTGTCTGATCTGTCTAACCCGTTATAATCTAAATCTCCCTCCCCCCTCGAGCCTAGTTTAAATACTCCTCCATCCTTCCCATAAACCTCTCCGCTAGCACAGCAGACCCATTTAGGTGCAGACCATCTCTAGCATATAGGTTGCACCCCAATGAAAAGTTAGCCCATGCTCTAGAAACCTAAATCCTTCCCTCTTACACCAGGTCTTCATCCATGCATTGAGTTTCAGGAGTGCACACAATTTTAAGGATTGACATGTTTGTTATCTATCTACTCAATGCAACCTCTTATTTTATATACCAAACAATTGAGCAATATATTACATTTGTGTGCACTTAAATTACTTCTAGTATATATTTTACTGAAAACATGGGTTTGGTAAACCATTAATATCACTTGACATAAAAAAAATTTCAACTACCACTTTATTCTCCAGGGTCTCTGTTTTAAAAAATTGTTTAGGTGTTTTAACTAATCTTCATGTAATAAAGTAAATATGTGCATTATACCATGTGTGCAGAAAAAACATTTATAAGTTTAAAGGGGCCAATTGTCTTCTTCACTGGTAATATTCTTTTACAATTCAACATTGGATAAATACTGTGATTTGATGTCTTCTTTTAGACAAATCTCTTCATTGATCTACTTTATAACTCTGTTGTACATTTGTTAATTATTAATTCCTGTTCTCTTTCACTGGGTTCTTGGAGTGAGACTTCCAACTCCTTTCAAACATCACTGTCCACCTTTCTCATTATGCTATTAATACTGTCCACTATGTTAGAAGAGCCCAAGGATGCAGTAGAGGCCAAATTGAAAAGTTGTTTTACATAAGGAAAACGTGTAGACAATGCCAAAAGAACAAGTTGTAGTCAGCACCTCTGCATAGCCAGTGTCTGTTTAATGGACAGGAGGTGATGGAAACCTAAGGGTTCCTTGTGTGATATGTATTCTTATTATTAGTGATACTGATGACACAGCGCTGATTTTCTAAATTGATTACCTGTGAACTTATTAATGTACATTTTTCCTTTAACCACTTTAATTGCTCCCTATAGCAGAATTACTGCTACAGGGCAGACTCTCTGCACAAAATCATGTGTACATACGTGATTCACAATCCCGCCGTGATCGTGGAACGGGGGCCCGCACCCGCCGGTCCGACGGTGCAATGATTTGGTGCCCGACTGATCAATCATCATATTTAGGCCAATGATGTTCAGCCTGGATCTGCTGATTGATCCCTGCCCTATCACATATCTTCCTGTACCTATGTTTACATTTACACAGGTACAGGATATGATATAATCTTCTCTCCCTGGACATATTTCGTTACAGAGAAAAAAGAAAGCAGATCCATGTGAGTCAAAAGCACTACACTTTTACAGTTAACAGCACAGCTAAGTCACATTTAACCCCTTGATCGCTCCTCCAGTTAAACCCTTCACTGCCCTGTCACCAGTGTCATTAGTACAGTGTACAGATTTTTTTACTGATCACTGTATTAGTGTCACCAGTGACTTCAGATAGCATTAGCGTCGATTAGCATCAGTTAGCATCCCTCCCAGATAGCGTCAGATTGCCCACCACTACATCAGTCATCACATTTAATCCTTTGATTGCCAGGAACACGCTCACATACACAATAAACCACTTGTCACGTACCTGATAGGAGAATGAAACGACTAGGTCGGCCTGACTTGTGTCACTAGCCCTGACCCCACTGGAAGTGGAACAGAGGGTGCTGAGGGACCAGGAGAATAAGAGTGCCAGCAGGTGTTGCCTGAAGAGCTTGCAGTTGGAGTCCTGAAGAGACTGGCGAACCATCGGTTCAGGAATGGTAGCGATGTTTCGGAATCCCACCTGGGTTACAAAGGCACTCCGCTTGCACAACAGGATCAGGATAAGTGACTTGTCAGATTTCCCAGCTAACTTGAAGCAGTAACAGTTTATAGTGTGCAGAGCTAGTATAGTAGACAGCCAGGTGGGCACTCGAGCAGGAAGGGAAGCTGAGATTGGAGACAGGAGCAAGGTCACAGGAATAGCCAAGGTCATCAACAGGCGGGCAGTGAGGTACCAAATCATAAGCAAGCCAAAGTCAGAAACAGAGCCGGGAACAGGAACTAGCAACAAGGAAGGAGCGGAATCCAAAATCAGGTCAGGAACAAGCCGGATCATCAACAGGGGGATCATACAAGAATACAGCAGGACACAGGGAAACAGGTGAAGACCAGTCAGCACTGAGAGCACAGGCAAAAGCATCCTTTAAATAGTCCATCTGGCACCAATATTCACTGTGCCTGTGAGCGATCGCACATTTCTGTGATGCGCATGTCTGGTCACTATTCTGCAAAGATTGCTCTGCGCATACGCATCTCTATTAGCTAGCCATCTCACAGGAATTCCCTTACATCATTATTCCTAGTATAGTGTCTGAACGTATCAATATCTTTGATCAGATTAGAACTATACCAGCGTCCACAAAAATATAGTATCAACCAAAAATGCAGCATTTGCAGGATCAGCCCTGCCACCTGCTAGCACATGCATTTAGCTCCTATGCTTAACCTCCCCTCCTTCTCCCCCAGCAAGTGCAGTGTCAGTAGGTCACCATTAGAGATGAGCGAATTATTCAAAAATTCGGTTCGGCTGATTCGCCGAATTCGCCGATTAAATTCGCTTCGTGCCGAATATATTCGCTGCGAATTTAACTTATAAAAAGGGTGTTTCTAGGCTTCAGAGAGCCTTTGTATTAGTGCAGAACACTGTACCTTTAATTTAAATGCCCTTGGAGTCTGCTTGGGAAGAGAAATAATACTGTCAGTCAGTATGACATGCAGATGAGTGCCGTCGATCTTAGAATCACCGCACACTTCACTCATTTGGGCAGTCACGGGGCCAAAACCAGAGTGTGGAGCCACATTGTGGCGGTGGAGGCAGCAGCAATGGGAGGCCATACAGCACCCTATGACAAAATGGAACCCACCAGCAGTGTGAGGAGACCTGAAAGTGGCACATGGCAGAGTGTGGCGATGGAGACAGCAGCAATGGGAGGCCGTACAGGGACCCATGACACACTCTGGACCTGGCAGCAGCATGAGGAGGCGGTACAGGGGCCCATGACAGATTATGGGCCTGGCAGCAGCATGAGGAGTCGGTACGGGGGCCCATGGCAGATTACGGGCCTGGCAGCAGCATGAGGAGGCGGTACAGGGGCCCATGGCAGAGTGGCGGAGCGTAAGCAGCTAAAATTGAAGGCCATACAGAGACCTATGTTAAAAAGTCCCCCCAGCAGCAGCGTGGGGAGACGACTATCAAGAGTCCAATGGCAGAGTGGCGGAGCAGAAGCAGCTTCAATTGAAGGCCATACACAGGCCTAGGTTAAAAAGCGGAAGCCGTCAGCAGCGTGAGCAGACGACAGAGACACATGGCGCAGGGTGGCGGTGGATGCAGCAGTATTCGGAAGCCAAACACAGGCCTCGGTTAAAAAGCGGAAGCCGTCAGCAGCGTGAGCAGACGACAGAGGCACATGGCGCAGGGTGGCGGTGGAGGCAGCAGCAATGGAAGGCCATACAGCACCCTATCACAAAATGGAACCCACCAACAGTGTAAGGAGACCTGAAAGTGGCACATGGCGCAGGGTGGCGGTGGAGGCAGCAGTATTCGGAAGACATACACAGGACTAGTTTAAAAAGCGGAAGCCGTCAGCAGCGTGAGCAGACTACAGAGGCACATGGCGCAGGGTGGCGGTGGAGGCAGCAGTATTCGGAAGCCATACACAGGCCTAGGTTAAAAAGCGGAAGCCGTCAGCAGCGTGAGCAGACGACAGAGGCACATGGCGCAGGGTGGGGTGGCGGTGGAGGCAGCAGTATTCGGAAGCCAAACACAGGCCTCGGTTAAAAAGCGGAAGCCGTCAGCAGCGTGAGCAGACGACAGAGGCACATGGCGCAGGGTGGCGGTGGAGGCAGCAGTATTCGGAAGCCAAACACAGGCCTCGGTTAAAAAGCGGAAGCCGTCAGCAGCGTGAGCAGACGACAGAGACACATGGCGCAGGGTGGCGGTGGATGCAGCAGTATTCGGAAGCCAAACACAGGCCTAGGTTAAAAAGCGGAAGCCGTCAGCAGCGTGAGCAGACGACAGAGGCACATGGCGCAGGGTGGCGGTGGAGGCAGCAGTATTCGGAAGCCATACACAGGCCTCGGTTTAAAACTGGAACCCAGCAGCGTGAGCAGACGACAAAGACGCACATGGCAGAGGATGGATCTGGCAGCAGTATGAGAAGGCGGTTACAGGGGCCCGTGGCACAGTGTGTGGTGATGGGGGCTACAGCAACTGGATGCCAGAAAGTGGCCGATAGGGCTATATACTGCATGACTACATAGGTGGTTTTTATAGTACTTTATTTTGGCCTCCCTCTCAGCAGGTGTGAAAAAGGCCACCATTTTTGAACGGTAGCGAGGGTCCAACAAGGTGGATAGCCAAAAGTCATCCCTCTGTCTGATGGTTACACTGTTCAACAGGTAAAAAGTTTTTTTTTGGGCATAAAATTAGCTAATCTTACATAATTTTGGGGTGCTGAAAACGAAAATGACCCTAAAAAATGTTGATTGGCTCTAGTTTCCATGATATATTCACCCATCTAATGACGTAAGCCATTCAAAATTATGATGCAACTTCAGCTGCATATTGCGCAATTGATACTGGTGACCAATAGAAAATTGCATTTATACTGAGATGATGCAATATTAGCCTTTAATTGCATCACTTCACTGCATCAAAGCTGCAGTATCTGTAGCTGATTGTAGTTCGACAGCGTCTTTACATTTCGTTTTATGCTTATATAGGCTACTCAGTAATGCCTCGAACTTGTGTGAATAAAGCAGATAATTTCTACTATATCTGCGGTGGAATAACTTTTATCTCACAAAAAAAGGAGGATAACAGGAATGATTAAGAAAGCCTACAACTTGTATTTTGGCTGCAAGATAGGAGACCAGGACAAGAGCTGGGCACCACATATATGCTGCAATTCTTGTGGGACGACACTGGAGCAATGGTTGAATGGAAAAAAGGCATCTATGCCTTTCGCTGTGCCAATGATTTGGAGAGAGCCAACAGATCATGTCAGTAATTGTTACTTTTGTATGGTGCCTCCAATTGTAAAAGGGCTAAATAAGAAGAAAAAAGTTATCTGTGCACTATCCAAATATTCTATCGGCAATATGTCCAGTTCCTCATGGAGAGGGACTTCCAATTCCTAAAGCACCAGAATCCTTCGTGGTTGAGTCAAGTGAGGAAGAACCTGAAGCGTGTAGTCACGTGCAGTTGTAAGAGATAGCCCTTTCCTCGAATACAAGAGAAAAGCCAAGAGAAGCAAAACCCGACACAAACTGAAGACAAAACTAGTGAGAATCCTAAGTATTAAAATGATTCAACTTAGCTTATGGCTATAATTTTTCTTGGTAATCCTATGCAATATATTATGCCATTTAGGCTTTGTTATGTAGTCAATATCACTTGCTTTATATTTGTGGAAAGACATCTATCTATATAATTATTGTGCATTATGTAGTCATAACGCCTATAGTAGAAAACTTTCCGTTTACAGAAAAACTAGAGCCAATTGACAAATTTCATTGTTATATTTGAACTCAGAATGTGAAATTCATTAAGAAATGGATCCTTTTGTTTCCAAAAATCTGGCAAAAAATAAAAATTTGTTGAACAGTGTTATTATTCGGCTGTCGCTACGCAAGCAACCGAGCATGCTATGGGCCATTTGTGCCAAGGAATGCGAGGGACTCCCTGCCTCCATCTCCACAGCATACTGCCACAGTGCGTCTGGGTCCTCTGTCTCCTCCTCCTCCTCCTCTACCAGATGCTCCTGCTCCTCCACTCCTGTCCGCTGAGTGGAAAAAACCACCCATTTCACTCAATAATTCCTGAGCACCAATGTCCTCCTCTACCTCCTCCTCTTCTTCCTGTCCTGCCCCCACAGGGGTCATGTGGCGTTGAGATCTGTGCGCCACGTCTACCGCACCCTGACCAGCCATTGTTAACAGCATTTGTTCCAGGATGTGCAACAGAGGAATGACGTCGTTCATCCCATAGTCCTGCCGACTCACGAATAGCGTGGCCTCCTCAAAGGGCCTGAGCAAGCGGCAGGTGTCACGCATGAGCTGCCAATGGCTGACATCGAAGTTACACAGGGGAGTACCTTTATCCGCTTGTAACATCAGGAAATCGGTGATGGCCTTTTGCTGTTCGTAAAGGCGGTCTAACATATGTAGGGTTGAATTCCACCTTGTTGCAACGTCGCAGATCAGGCGATGCTGTGGAATTCCGTTCTGCCGCTGCAGCTCAAGGAGGGTGTGCTTTGCGGTGTAGGAATGGCTGAAATGCATGCAAAGTTTACGTGAGTCCACCACTTGGAAAGGGAGGGACTGCAGCACCAGCAACTTGGACAGGGAGGACGTTCAGCTTCTGCACCGAAGTCCTCGGTTTCAGTGCGTGCTCGCAAACTGTTGTCTCTTGGAAACGGATTTCAAGAAAGACTGCTGACGGAATCCGTGAAGAGGAGTAGTAGCAGGAGAAGGAGCATCTGAAGGAGCGGAAGATGCCAACGAGCGACAACCTCCCCTCAGCAGAGGTGTTGGAGCCTTGACTGGCTGATAGAGGGCGATTGACGTCGGGTGACGGAGCAAGTAACGGAGTGGGTGATGGA